CCTCTTCTCTTGTCTTTAAGGCTCGTACAGGTCTTCCCTGTACACTACTGGTATTTTCCTTAGTACTCTAGAGTTAGTATACATAGAAACATCCAAACACACATATATACATATATAAAATCTTAAAAAATGTCTTCCTCCCCTTTATAAATTCCTACAACCTTTTTCAGTCCTTTTCTTGCACGGTGTCTCACAGCAATTTTAAAGAAACAGTACACGTTTCCTCACAGGATATATAAGGTACACACTGCAAAGTGGGGCAAAGGAGCAGGAATTCTATATTACAAATAGTAAAGCTTTAAAAATATCAACAAAGCAGAACATTCTAACATAACAAATGTAGAGCTCTACATTAAAAAAAGACTTCATTATTTCAGTATCTCTTTGTTTGCTTGTTTAATCATCCCCTGGGACGGTCTGTACTGTTAAGAAACGTGTAGAAAACAGTCATCAGTTTTTGTTGTTGTTCAATTAGTGCTATACTCAGTGTTTGAGCTCATGCGAGTGTCCTTTGGGGAAACGTCCTGCGTGCCATTAGCACTATTCTTAATGAGGGAAAGCACGAAACTCCTTTAGTGCTCTGCCAGAATTGTTTTATCTTCGAGTCAAAAGAACAACTGCTTGGAGTAACCCCAAAAAAAGCATTTAACAATTACAAGTGGCAAACAATATTCCCAAGCGTTATACTCCTAGCACTCTTCTATTTATAGGCTAACGGTTATTATACTGAATAAAATATGTATTAGGCGGCTTTATTATGCAGACAGTCATGAATCCCCAGTTCAGGCTGCTACGATGGTTTCCATTACAAGCCCAGTTTTGATCCGTTTTACTCTTTCTGCGAGAGGTAGGGTGGGGAACAGGAGGATGTTTCATGTTTGGTTTCAAGACAAAGGAGAATATTTTTAGGAAGTTTGAGGTTAATTGGACATGCTGCTATTGAGATATGGGACATAGGCGTTTCTTTATTCTTTTCTGAAGCAAAAAAGCAGTTTAATGGCAATGTTTTTGTTCATAAAAGGCTTTTTAACTAGTTGTCCAGAAATTCTTTAAAATACAAAATCAGGACTGAAAACCAGGTGAAAGGAAGGTCAAGACTTGCAGCTCTAGGAAATACACCCACACAAAAGATCTAGCACTTCTCCTAGCTACATTTATTTTCAAAAAGGCACGCAAGCTTTTTCCACTGCGAAAATAGCAAAGCAGCAATTAAAGAACACTAGACTTCAAAACAAAACTAAAAGCAACATTCTTAACTCTGATCGCTGTTTCCCTCCCAATTACAGCTCCTCACCTCACTCTTCGCATCTCTAGGTTTTGTATCGGAGCTTCATAATGCTGACACCAAGCATCCTCCCATCTCTGACACCTCCTTGATCCTAGCCTCAGCACGATCAACGTCTCCAAGTCTTGAAGCCTGCACATTCCTTTTTTTGCCATCCCAACGACTGACTGGAAAGCGCAGGATTTAACGAACAAGGTAAGAGTAAAGCTCTGGCTAAAAGTTTGCATTTCATACTTGTTATACACAGCAGCTCATTTAAGCAATGCCTAAAAGCACTCCCTGTCCTCTCGGTGACGCGTCGATCCTACCACGCGCCCTTACAAACCATGCGCAGTGGACACCAGCTGGCACAAACTCCCCGCACAGAGCAGCATCACGTAGAAGAGCTAGGACTCAAGCAGACGCTGTGGATGACCTACAGAAATGGCATGAAGGCAACTTATTTCGGTTGGATTTTATATACAGTCTTCTTAATGAGGCAAGAACTACCTAATTACAGAAACCACGGGGAGATCTCAGGGCCAGGCAGTACCAGACAACTGATGAGATTCCACAGACTTGCCATTTGCTCATGTCACCTGAAGAGAGGAAAAACGTAAAAGCAGAGCCATTTTCAGTTTTCAATCCAGAAATGCAATGGGGGACTGTGTATTTCTATCTTTTAGTTTTCTTTAGCATTTGTTTGAGGCTGCACACCTGATCGCTGGAAAGATGGGCAGCAGAGTCCGCTTCCCCTCCCCCTTATTAGTTAATGTCCTAACACCTCTTTGCCGTCCTTTCTTTTTATCTAGAGAGGTCAGTAAGATTCATTCTCTTGTTACCTTAAGACTGTAGTAAGAATATTCTTTAATTCTATGACAATCTCACTCCAAGACCCCTGCAAATGTTAGGGATGTGCTGTTGTATACAGAACTGTGTACGGGTGTGGGCCCGACAATTTAAGAAGGATGTGAAGGTCCCTGAATGCATCCAAGGAGGGCAACACAGCTGGTGGAAGGGCTGGAAGGCACGTCCTGGGAGGAGCAGCTGAGGGCTCTGGGCTTGTCTAGCTTGGAGGAGGCCGAGGGGCGACCTCATTGCTCTGCCCAGAATCCTGAGGAGGGGGCGTGGGGAGGGAGGTGCTGAGCTCTCCTCCCTGGTACCCAGGGACAGGATGCGTGGGAATGGCTCAAAGCTGCGTCCATCAGGGAGGTTTGGACTTGACATGAGGAAACACTTCCTTACTGAGAGGGTGGTCGGACACTGGATCAGGCTTCCTAGAGAGGTGGTCGATGCCCCAAGCCTGTCCCTGTTTAAGAGACATTTGGGCAATGCCCTTAACAACCCGCTTTGACTTGGTCAGTCCCAAACTGGTCAGGCAGTTGGACTAGATGATCGTTGTAGGTGCCTTCCAACTGAAACAGCCTAGTCTACTCTAAGAGATTTGCAGCTGTGGTGGCACTGAGTTACCACAGCCATGCAGCAGGCCTCTAACTTCCTCTGCTAAAGGTCTACAGTAATTTGGGCTGCTCTACAATGGACAAATGCATCCTACTCACTTTGAGAGGCTGAGATTTAAAATGCTGGGGAAGAGGTTTAGAAATGCTGAACTGTTTCTGATAACATATTTCCAGTTGTTTTCTAAAGAGTTTATTCACATCCATTTTGATATTAACAGATACTTTTATGCAAGTCAGAAATCAATTACGCAGGAGAATCAGCGTAGCTGCCTCTGTAGGAGTATTTACTGAATACACAAAGCAAACCTGAACAGAATTTTTTTCATTAATTTCTTTATTTTCAGGTTGCTATGGCTAGCTTAAGTTTACATATCTTTCATATGAAAAAAAACTTTAACTTTTCAGGTTGGAAAAGATGTATTCTTTAAACACCCAAACTGGTAATTTATTTTATTCAGAGGGGAGAAGCTGGAAGTAGGAACCTAGTGCCAGGTTTGCTCACTCGCTTTATAAGGCATTGGTACACAGAGGAGTTATTGCGTGATAAGTTTCCATATGTCTGCTATGTAGGCATACTCTGTCACGTCTGAGATGAACGCAAGCTAATTCCAGGCAAGCTGCCCCTCAGTAAAAGCAGAGGTAGGTAGGCCTTTTTGAATTTACAGGCACAAAGCCACGTACTAAGAAAACGGAGACAATTCAGGTGAAGCAGCTGATGCTGGGTAACTGGTTACACCATCACAATTTTGCTCACAGGGCAAGGCTGATAGTTCGTATCACGAGGTCTCACAAAAATTCACGAGGTAGCAGACCTCAGATGCTGTTGTTTTAGAGACAGCATTATAGGACTCACACGGGACCACAAACTTCAGGGGATTATTCAGACAAGGTTTACAAGCCTCAATGAAGCTTTCAAAAATTTTTGTTCACAAAACTGAATGCAAGGATTTTCAGCTTTATCAGCAGTTCTTAAAATGAAAATCCAAACACATTTTCAGCATTTCGAAATACTCGTAATATACCTGGGCTAATATTGTTCACAGTTTGAGGTCATCTGTAGTATCGGAGTTTTGAATTATCTCTTTCTTTTCATTGCCTCCGTACAGTACTAAGCTATAAACAGCAGCAAGACGCACACAGATTCTAAGTAGCTTTTCTGAGAATAATTACTTACATTTAGTTTGAACAACCCAATGCACCACAGGTAATAAGGCTGTGGAACTGAAGTAGAGCCACTGACGACTAGCATGGCAAGCTCCTTCTGGTTCAAAAGTGCCAAACTGAGCTTTCATGTAAGAGCTGTCTCACTCTGAACAAACTTAAGTTTGTGTAAGACATCAGCACAAGTCAACCTGCGCACCGTTTGTCTTGTAAATTACAGAGATGTATTTGCTGCTAGTTTATCAAATCAATCCTATGGACATTTTTAAACAATTAAATCATTCAAGGCAAATCTTCAGCTCTCCTCAGCTGAAGAAGTCTTGCCTGAACAAGGAAAGATATGCAGGATTCCAGTGTGTTTAAAACAAGATTGATAAACACAAGACACTTTTATACCATGACTAAGACGTCAAAGAAGCAGTTACATATTTTACAGATACGTTGCCACAAACAAGGCATAACAATTTTAGGTAAGATTCAGACTGTCAGCAAAGAAATATGATGTGACAGCGAGAGTCATGAAAGCACTAGGACTCAGTACCTCACGGATGGTAGTAAAGACTGCTATCTACAGCGACGAGCAGAAAAAAATGCGATTGAAACAGATATGAATGGATTTAATGCTTGTAGCAGAGAGAGAAACACATTCCGAGTCTTTAGAAGAAAGAAAACGCTAATCTAAGGATTTTAATTAATGAACTTTATCAACTCAAAATGGGATAATTTCGTATTCGTTGCTCCCATTCTCCTCCAAACATTATAACTCTTCAGGTGGGGTAAATGCGTGTGTCACACACAGTCCTCTCAGCCAGAGAAGACCAGCCGGCACATTCATGAAAACTACTCCCAGCTCATAGGTCAGGGTCCAAATTTTTCCAGTTGCTGTCTCCCATTTACATCTCTATTTCACTGCAATGATAAGAAGACTGTAGGGCAACAGCCTCTCCAGTACGAGAGCTAACTTTGCTAACAGCAAAGGTTAATCTGAGTCCTAATTTATAACCATAGAGATGTGCCAAATTCAGACCCGTGGCATGAAGAGGAACCACTGGTACACAAAGACAAACGAAGCTTTGTGCAAAATCGCGTACTTTCCCCATTTTAAAATAATTTACCTGGCGATATAGCCCTATGGAACTGATACATGTCTTCTCCAATCAGCTCTTGTGCAACCTGCTTAATCTTCCGTCTGACAGCATCCAGCTTGACTTCAGATTCATTGATTATTTCTTCCCCATTGGGAGCACTGCAATCATAAAACAGAAACTGAAAGAGCAGCTTTCAGAACATGAGCAAACAGTTAAAAAAATTACACATTTTCCTTTATTAACCAATACATTTTCAATGGCTTCAGGAAAAAGCAAAGCTGGTATCGGAATAAGAAACAGTTTGACTTTCAGATTCTGAAATTCTGTAGATTCTTACCATGAAAATAATCAACCAGCCAAACAGCTTTGGTAGCATGATGTTTATTCCAGACTGGAATTTTAATTATTGCTCAAGAACAATGAGAAACACGTGCAAAGGCTTCAAAAAAGCATTCCAGAAAACTAGCAGTATTTACAGAAGTCCTTCAGCCTCGGGGGGAAGGGAACAATGAACGAATATTTTGCAATACATTACAAAATACAAATACATGATCTACTTCTACATGTGATTTTTTTTTTTAGAAAGTAATTATGGACTATGCTGTTCAGGAACAGCTGAAATATCTGATTCACAACCACAATACATGCTTAGCATTTTAAGTTTAGTTTATCTAATTTCCTTTAACCTTCCCCCTCCCTCAAATAAGCTATATGGTATATTAGTTTACAATCTATTTGAGGAACTACTGGTAGACTGCTCTCAAGAAAACATTTAAAAGCAAACAGATTTCTGAAAGAAAAGCCACAATAATAGCACAAAGCAAAGGAGAAGGAAATAAAAATACAGCATGGAAAGCTTCCACTCTCACAAAAACAGGAATATCTTACAAAACAGGAATCTAAAATTTGGAGTAAAGAGGAGGTTTTTTGTTGTTGTTCTTTCCTCTGCCAGTTCCCAGCATATCTAGCCCCTGCAGTGGGAGTAGCTATTTACAGTCAAGGCTGTAGCAGTTACTAGAATTGTCACAACGCCACACTGCAGAAGAAGACCAGGTTAAAAAGATAATTCCTATTTATAACTGTTACTACTATGGTAACTATAAATAGTTACTACCACAGCAGAAATGCATCGATAGGTGACAAAAAATAAATATGGGAAGGGGAACGCTGTTCTAACTGTAACACGCAGGACGCGTGTCTGACACATACAGTAAACAGCTTCCACAACACGCTACGCAAAGCTTCAGATTTTCCTGTTGTTATTCTAGTTTGTCTGTGGCTTCCAAAGGTTGCTTGGAGTAGCAGCAGTGGGGAAGTAGCAGCAGCGGCAGGAGGCTTCCTCCTAGCCTGGAGGAAGGGTGCACGCTCTTCTCGACGGAAAGCTCCCACCTGTTGTTACACCCTGCTACTCTGATCCTATTTAATGCGCCATTAAAACCAGCTGAGGAACCTGAACGGGCATCTTTCAGTTCTCTGACTGGAGCGTGCATTCATTAGCTACATCCACCCTCAAGGATGTTTATGGGAAGTTAATTAAATTCCTCTCATCAGAACATTGCAGCTATTTATCACAAATACAGAGAAGACTGCACGGCAGCTTCTAGGTTTCTGCGAACACTTTCACACTCTGTGTGACTCACCTGGTAAACCTGTGGAGCAGAAATATCGTTCTTTTGCTTTCGATAGTGATATCACGACTGAGCTTCACAAGCCGTTCATATTTATCGTGCCTGGTGTCAAGCTCCAGCTGAAATGCTGTGGAGTCAATCATTACAGCAAGAAGCATGGTTACTACACGTATACAGCGTCGGGGAAGAGCAGAGAGCCCGTGCTGCCGTAACTGCTGGGAGGGCTGGGGCCCACCAGCGTTCGCCCCGGGGTGGGGCACGGCTGCGGAGACCCCCATGGCCTGTCAGGGCTGTTGTGCAGCACTGCAGCCGGTGCTTGGCACGCAGCTCGCCACTCAGCAAAGGCACAAAATCGTTTCTGAAATGACACATGGCAACTCCTGCGGGGCAGGTATGGGCTGAGCAGTGCACCCAGTGCACACCTAAGTGTGATTCTGGCACTTCAAATGCAGCTTGCTCTGAAAACCTCTTTGAGGCACCAACCTGTATCTTTATAGAATCATAGCAGCACAGAATGGTTTGGGTTGGAAGGGACCTTAAAGATCATCTGGTTCCAACCCCCCTGCCATCAGCAGGGACATCTTCCACCAGACCAGGTTGCTCAGAGCTCCATCCAACCTGGCCTTGAACCCTGCCAGGGAGGGGGCAGCCACAGCTTCTCTGGGCAACCTGGGCCAGGGTTTCACCACCCCCATGGGGAAGAATTTCTTCCTAATATCTCATCTAAATCTGCCCTGTTTTAGCTTAGAGCCGTTCCCCCTTGTCCTATCCCTACACACCCTTGTGAAAAGCCCCTCTCCACCCTTCCTGTCGGCCCCTTCAGGCACTGGCAGCTGCTCTAAGGTCACCCCAGAGCCTTCTCTTCTCCAGGCTGAAGCTCTAAGGTCACCCCGGAGCCTTCTCTTCTCCAGGCTGAACAGTAACGTTTAGGCAACAACGTGTCTATTAAACTTCAGTCTGGAGCAGCAAAAATCCATCGTTAATACTACTTTTGTTTAGTAAGTCAGGTTTAAATATATGTCAACTCTGATGATGCTTTAAGGCAGCCCAAACAATTTTAAGGTAAAATACTTGTTTGAAGTAGTAAAATCTATTCTGCAATACCGCTGTTCAGGAAACTGACTTAAAATTTCACCCAAATTCAGCAAGACTAATTAAAAAAATAAAACCCTAGAATCATTAGTAAGAATCACCAGTCTCTAAAACAAAACAAACAAACAAACAAAAAAAGTGGCATTTGACTAAGGCACAGACACTGTTAAAAATGCACCAGTTAGTAAAAAGAAAGGTTCCATTTCACATCCCAACTAGACTTGGCGAAAAGTCAAGTAGTTTAATATCCCTAAGAACTAGAATTATTAAAGCAAAGTGAGATCAATTACTTAAAAAAAGATTTCTGACTTACTGATGTAAATTCTCTCTAACTACAAGGAACACAGCAAAGAAAGGATGTGTATCTGGTTATCACAGTCAAACATTATGAATGTTTCACAGATACCATTAACATTTTATAGACCATTATTCCACTAAATAAACCATTAATAGAACTGTAACGCATTTCCTGCGTGACTGACTGAGGTGTTAAAGCGTCCATGCAAGACGATGGTGAAAATGAGCTACGGGGTTACATTTTCAAAGGGTCTGGCAAACGAATATCCTTTGGAAAAGTGTGGCAGTTTGCTGGCAAGCAAAGTTTAGATGAAGCTACAAAAGTAACCGTATTTCTCATCGCCTTGATAAAAACTTGGTTCCTCTTATTTTGCTCTGCTCTCCCTAATCTTCTTCTGAAATTCTAAAATAAGTCACAAACGCTCCTACTGATCTTTTAAATCTTTCACAAGTCTGACTGGCGTGCCTTTTCCAAATTCTGAGAGTCAAGTCCACCACTGAATTATCGTCACGAAGAAATTTCCCCTCACATCAGAGTGACGGGGACTTGCAGGAGGGTGGCTGGTACTTTCCTTCGTAGGATGCCATATATGACATTTCCAATGACCATTTACCAGTTTCATCTACCAGGAAGGAAATTCACTATTCTGAAGATCTACAATATCAGCAATGCCGCTGATCTCTTCTGGACAGTTGTAGCTTTTAGACTTTTACGTTAGATTTTAAACCTGTTAGGGACTACTAGGAAGTGTTTTGTGACCTGAAGTAAAGCACAGACAAATACAGTAATCTTTAGGCTAACAGGATGCACGAAAACCTGCTGTACTGTTGCGTAAAACTGCAAAGGATTAGAACTTAGGGGATTCTCCAGGCTCACACATCGAGACCACAAAGCCCTTTCCTCCACACATTCCACTTTAATGTCTAATCTATCACTGAAAGCAGAGACTCAGACTCTATTGATTTTGGTGGTGCAGAATCAGACCACTAAAAATAACACTCCATAAATCTGAACTTTACAAACCACAATACTATCCACTCTCTGTATCACTGAGCTGTCACGTCTAAAATGTATTAAGCAAGAAAAGATGTAACTGAATACTTCTTGGGTTTTGATTAATTATTATTATAGAAGACAGTTTCTCATTAATTTTTTAGAAGTCTTTGGTGCCAACAGGTAACTACATCAATTCAATCACAACATTTTTCCAAAGAGATGAAAAAGAGCAAAAGGTGTATAACCATTTAATTTCACACATTAAGTTGTTTAGTTTCAGGCAACACACACAGAAATGGCGCAGAACTCCAGTTCACCTCCTACAGCTTGCTCAACTGCAAGCCACCTGGAGCACACCTTTTCTCAACGCTTGTGCCTGACACGGACACAAAGACCACCAGCGTCTCCACCTAGGGCTTATAAGCTCTAGTGCAATACAAAGAGTGGATCTTTGAAAAGCTGAATAAACCACGTTCCTTACGGCCTTTCTGAAATTAACCAAACACTGCTTACTGGAGCTTACAGGAAAAGAGGGAAACACAGGTTCTTTTGAATTTGAATTAATGGCAGCCTTATGATAAACTGACATGCTTAAGAGTAAAAAATTAAAGTTGACTATAGTTGCACTACTCAATTCAAGCGCAAGTGTAGGTATATTATTCAATATAAAAGTTCAGGGGTCAAAGTTAATCATCTGCCAAGCTGACTTACACAGAAAAAAACCCAAATATCTGTTTTAAAGAAAGCAAGGAAATTACAACGTTGAAGGGACCATCTATAACAGCCATCCAGCTCTTACTTCTTCACCCTCCTTAGCTTCATAAAAAATAGGGGGGGTGGTGACAATTTTACACCAAGCATTTATCTGTTCCCTGCATCACATCTCCTTCCTTCTTCTGTCAAGGCTTCTCATTTCTGAAGCTCAACTTTGCCTTGTTAGGGCTTGTCTAATGAGAAAGTTCAACTAAATTTACTGGAGTTTAAATCAGGTTTTGTGCAAAGCCCTATAGAAACAATTTGGTTGGAGAGAAGTTTACACTTGCTTATTTAAAGAAACTGAAACATAAGCTAATTTTAAAAAGGCACTCAAACTGAAACAAGTGTCTACATACGAGCCTCTATTAGTTAAGCTAAACTCTCATTTTTAAAAAGTGCATGCATAAACACCTTGCAAATCAATGCATCCAGTTTTACGTTAAAATAGCTCATGCACTGGAGCTAAGGCCACCAGCTAAGAGCCTTCTCAGTCTCCCCAAAGGCAGCCATCTCCTCCTCCTGTCCCCATGGCTCAGATTTTGCGTCACACCTCTGCCAGATCTTGCAGTTCTCTGCCTCCAAAGGGCCCGTTCGCGGGTCAGATGAAAAAGGGAGAGTCGGGGGGGGAGCTACGTGAAATCCCACCGCCGGGACTCTACTGCGCACAACGCAAAACACCAGGCTCTAGATGTCTGCAGCAGGAGTCCAACTAGTTTCAAGTTTCTCCCCCCAAGAAAATGGTTTATTCCATCACTAAATACTAGCGATTTCCTAGCAATTTCTACACCAGGCTTTTATCATCGGGCTTTCCAGATGCTTACTTACATTTAAAAGATGTCATCAAAGCTGACGATGGATTGACATTCTCTTTTTCCTCTCTTCTTTGACCATGTGGAAAATTGTCATGCTTTCGTTTTCTGAACCCACCCGATCCTATTAATAGAAGATACACACAAAAAAATATATTTAAAAATAAAGCAGTTTTGCCAGAGCATAAGAGTGCTCTCTTCAGAGCATTCCAAACTATATCCATATTTTACGGGATAGAAGAAGGTAATGGGATGAACCTTATTACCGACTGACATCATCTTCACGTTAGCTTGCTACTTCTGCCACCACATTCCTAGTGAAAATTAGAAAAAATCCTACCAATTTCAATGGATGAGCGTGGTAGGATCTTAAGTCTGTCTTTTTTTTTTTTTGCATAATGTCTTCACACCCTTTTACGTTTTTTTTTTTCTGGAAGTGAATGGCTGCACTGAAATCCCTGTGTGAGCAATGGCCTGCACGATTAGACCTTTAGACATTTTTTCTTCCCTCTCACTTTTTTTTTAAAAAAATATTTTGAATATTTAACTTGACAGGAGTCATTAAAACCGCAAGTTTTTCATTACTCTTCATTATTTATGTCATGGGTCTTCAGTAATCAGAAAGGCACAGTTTCAGTAGACTGCCATTATCCAGGTAAGCAGGTTTATCCCACACAGCATCTTCCGTCCGTACACTCTGCCCATTAACCCGTTTCTTCTCTTTTCACCCCGATACAGCTGTTCCCTTCAACTGGCCTTCCTCAGCCTCCCTTTTCCAACTCTCACCCAGAACTCATCTCTTTCGGATTGTGTTTTTGCTACTGATTTACACTTTGTACTGTTTCTTCCTTTCGTCCTTCCTTCACCCAGGACCGACCATCATGTCATTCGTGTTTTAACCACTCCTCCCTCTCGCCGCCTCCTTGTTGTGACAGCTGAACACTTTGTGTTCCTGAGAGAGGCCAAGAATTTGGCAAACTCTTACATATGAGCACACCTTTTTGAATCCATGGAGTTTCCTTACAAGAACAAAAGGAAGCTACTTAAAAGTTACAGACGAACACTGGATTTTAAAATGTTTCCGTTCAATTGTTTATCATCCCAAACCAAAACCAGAAGTGGGCGCAGCTACTTTCTAAAAAGGGAAACCAAAAACCGTATTTTTCCTTCTTTTCTGTTAGGACACGAGTTCAGGGTTTTGTTTTTCCTGCACCAGCTGAGAATGCTACCAACACAACCCCTGAAACAGCGCAGAGAATTCAACGCTCCACAGCATCCCGAAAAGTTGGGAACACCGTAATGACCCACAGGAACAAACAGGCCCTCCTTGAAGGGACGGGGGGAGAGGAACGGGGAGAGGAGAAGGGGAACGGGCAGAGGAGGAGGGGAACGGGCAGAGGAGAGGTTCTGCTGGATAACCAGCAAGTAGAAAACCAGCAAACCACAGGCCGCAATAACAGTAACCTCGCCTTAGTTTACGCAGAATCAGCAGTAAAGCCAGAAGGCAGCTCCCTCTCTGCAGAGGCTGCTTTCTGGCCGAAGGGAGCTCTGCCCGGCTGCCTCGGCTACGCCACCGCGGGCCCGAGGCGAGCGCGGCGTTACTCGCAGTTTGTTAACGCTACCACGTTTACCGCTACGAGCGCTTTACACAGCCGGCACCCGGCCGCAGCGACCGCTTTTCCACCACAGAAGGGCGAAGGCTCCCGGACGGAGCAGGGCCGGGCTCTCCCGGTGCCGGGCCAGAGCTCACGGACGCGGCCCAAGGGAACCGGAGCCGCGAAAAAAAAACTTGGGATCATTAAGTTGTTTTTCAAGTGTTTTTGTGTCTTGTGATTAGATTTCTTACAGTTTTAATTCCAGTTGTAGCTCTTCCTTGTGTTCGGAAGACTTAAAACATCTTTCCAGTTTTTTTTCTGGTGTTTTGTAAAGACTGAATTCCTTCTAAGCTGTGTTTTTCTAAAGGTATCATGAACTTACTTCTTCACTCAAATGCTTATTGTGAGGACACTTCTTGCAATGTCTTTTTTTTAGGCTTAGATGTCCATATGAAATTTTGTCAAAAATGTATTACAGTCAGAAACTACTAGCAATATGGTTTATAAGAGATTTTCTTACGAGACAAGCTAAAAAAACAGATTGTGCCTGGGAAAAATTGAGAAGTACAACATAGGGAAATAAAACCACAATTGAAGAGGCTAATGATTTGCTAAGTGCAACACAAACAGGAAAAATAAAAACATTAAATGGAGCAGCAAAAGTTGCAAGTTTAGAGATTTTTTTTCTTTTAATCTTTAAAACTGCTTGTCATAATGGATCAAGTTGGCAACTACAAAGTTGTCCAAGTTCAAGGAGAGAAGTGTAACCTGAAGTCTCTGCTGATGGTCTGATAGAGGGGATTGTAAGAAATGTGAAACTATAACAAAAAGCCTTAATATTTTCTACTTTTTAGTAGTCTTTAGTACTGTAACTTGTATTTCTGCATGCATAGTGATCTAATGATGTAACTGTTACACTAATCCCTGTTTTCTCATTAAGGAATGCAGTGGAAGGACATGGGCACAAGCTATCCCTTAGTCGTCAGACAAAATAATTAAGTGAAACAAAAGTGGTCTTGGTTCTCAGCAAATAATTGGGATAATTTGGGATAAAAGAGACTCCTAAATAATTCTACTCCAGACAGCTCGGCCTTCGGAGGGCAAATGTGCCAAGCTACAGAGGTAAGGAGGCACCAAGACAGCAACAAGACCGGAGCAAAACACCCTGAAGGAC